CTCTGTCATTCAAATATGGACCAGCTTTTCCAAGGGTACTGTAATTTCTCATAACATGACCATTTACGACATCATAAATATAAAATACTTATATTGCTATCAATTTTTCCTGGCCCTAATGCTGATTTGCATCACAAAGCACTTATTTCTATATTGAGGGTAGCTTTGTCATGAAATTGCCCCATATTAGAGAGAGCTTAATGATCTGTATATCAGAGGTTGGTTGGATAGAGTTTGGAGTATTGCTTTGTCTGAGAAATTGATCTAGCAATTAAGACAATCTGAAAAATAGCATGCAGACCACTGATTTTGGGGGAAAAATATTATCAGTTTATTGTTCATTCCAACAAAGATGCATCATCATATAGACCCACAGCTTAGCTGATGAAATCCTGGAAATCTTTCTGCTCTGAATGTTATTCTGTATTGTAATAAGCTTGCAAAAAGGTGGGAGAGAAGAAGGGAAGGGTGTGAAGAAGATGGAGGAGAGCACCACTAGGGGCAAGGATGACAGAGGAGGGGTACTTTTTTGGGCAGCTGTGAAAGTTTCATAACATTCTGGATCTTCTATAAAGTTCTCAAACTATCTGGGATGCTCAGGAAAGTTCCACAATAATTAGAAATAATGTAAAATTGAATACAATATATTTGAGTTAATAAAAAATAGAAAAATATTTAAAATTCTCAGAGAATTTTTTGGAGAATATTGAGAAGACTGTCATCTTATATCATCCATTAAGCTCAGTACTGTCCATAGAAAGCATGTCTTCAAAATCACAGAAATATGTTCAATGGGAAAGAGAAGGATTCTAGTGATATAACAAGGGAGACTTTGGGCTGTTCTGTCCCTACAGTGATTTTTGCTTTGGTTCAATATGTTTCTCAGGCCTGAAGGAACACAACACATTGAAAACTATTCTGCCATCCCTGAGAATGTACTCTAAAGCAGAGAAAAAGGAGGCATTCATTCAGATTCACTTCCTTAACTCAACCACTGAATATCAACTCAACTGAGACAGTGGCAATGTATAAATGGACCTCTGGCAAGACAACTATCATTGTGGCGTTTTGAGGTTAATCTGTTCAGAACAGAAAAAACTGTGGTTCTATTTTGTTAACTTCCACATCCAGTTCCATATCATTTCTCTTATCATTAAGTCTATTCATTATTCCTGGATACTCTAAGTTGAGGTGACTATTTTATAACGTCTACCAAGCTGTGTAGTCCTGCTAACTAGTCAGAACCACAACATGGACATGAAAGTAGCAGAGTAGATACTGATTCTATTATTTATCACCAAACAAGAAATCAGAAGGAGATGTGGGCTGCATCTGCACTGCGGAAATAATCCAGTTAGACACCACTTCAACTGCCATGGATCAATGGTATGGAATTTTGGGAACTGAAGTGTTTGTGAGATATTTAGCCTTCTCTGTCTGATCTGATGTCACTTTGCTAGGATAACCCCCCCCCCCAGGTAGCCCCTATAGTTTCTCAGTTGCTCCAGGAGGGGCCATCCTTCTCTAAAAGTAGATGTAGTCTTCCATTAGGAAAAAACAAACAGTGGTTAACCCTATCCAAACACACAGAGTATGACATGGAAGAAACCCAGGGCTATGGCTGGAATTGGACCACAGAAGATTTAATTCTTGTGAAACAAAGCACCCATAATGAGACAGCTGCTGGAGTGCAACATTTTGTACATTGTGTTTGGAATAGCAATGTTCATGTACTATGGAATGGAAAGAAAGAGGGAGGAGGGAATACCAGTGGAAAAATTACTCTCTATTGAGGACATCATATTACACGTATAGCTCTGTGAAGACTCATTAAATCAGGGGGTCCACAAATACATTGGTCAGTGCTTGTGCCCTTCTTCAGAGGCGGCAGAGTCCACACTTCTTAATCTCACACTGAGCCTCAGAAAATTAAGAACAATAATGTCTTGCCTTAGTAAGCACCAGAACAGCCTACTGTTTTCTAGGCCTTAACTTGACAAACACAAGTCTCCCATCATCCCACCACAGTCGGGATAAAGATAAGCTTGCCCTGTCAAGCAAAGTGAGCCTCAGAGGTCCGTGGAGCACAACTCTGAAGCTAAGCACAACACCAAAAACAACAGCCAACCCACTCCCATAGAAGGGGGAAGGGTTGAAATTGAGCAGAGTTTTTGGCTGGGTAGAAAGAGCACTCAAAATCTGTGAACACATTTTATGACAACACACTGAATGTCTTCTATCTCCAAGAGGATTATTAAAACATTATACTCCCTTGCCAGAACAGGCAGCCTGCCAACTACACAGTGAGCAATAAAGGTTTACTCCTCATATAAGTACAGTCATTAGGTGGGTATGTGCCTACACAGATTACAAACAAGGCTAATATCTTCTAAATGCTCTTTCCTGCAGTAGTATAAATAAAATTCTAATACCCTGACATAGGAAAGCATCATGAGAAAATTTTTAATTATCTAGAAAATCAAACATGTTTTCAAAAATATTGGATGTGTTAAGAAGTAGAACAGATGCACATGAAACAACATGATGGCACAAATAAATCTGTGCCATTTTACTGCGTGCATTCCCATGCTTAGTGCAACTACCAATGTAGCTGTTGATTTTGTTCCTTGTAGCCATGCAATGAATATTGCTTCATTTTACTAGATCTAAAGAAAGAACAATGCAACTAAAATGTGTAATATCATTTTAAGTTACATTAATTAAGTTTCAAGGTTCCACTTCCTGTAAAAAGCTCCCAAGGACGTTTTAATATGTATTGATATTAGAGGAAGGATTAGTTTTAAAACTGACAACATCTCAATCGTCTCTCTGATTAATATGACATCAGCTTTTCTGAGGACCCCTTTTTCACCATTTTCCTTCTTTAAAGATGCTCATTTCTCCACACATTCTCCTTGTAAAACTTGCCTCTTTCTCCGGTTTCCAACATCATCCAGCCACAAAGTGAGACACTGTAATGTTTTCAACAGACATTGTACCTTATTTGTAACATACCTGGAATACACGTCTGTTTCTGGAACTGAAAATATATTGATTAAAAAGAGAGAGATAAGGCTGACAGGTAGTTTTCTCAATCAGGTTCTGGAATAGGTTGAGCACCCCACATCAAAGGATCAGGTCTGAAGTTTGGGGATCATTAATAATTCAGCATTGTTACTAGAGGCTTGAGTGAATTTTTCAGCAAAACCCACCTTTTATTAGTCCCAGACGATGTTTCAATTATGGCCCTACCCGAACAAGTAGCCTACCTATGTATTTTAATACACTGTTGTTGTTATTGTTTTCAAGGATAAAACTAACACCAACTGTATGTAGAGCTGACCCATTAAGATGAACAAGCCTTATAGTCACAAATAACTTAGGTCCCATTGGTTACAATGGGTCTAATCTGGGCAGTGCTAGCACTGGATTTAGCTCTCTGGCAGGATTTTTAAAAACTAATGCTATGAAATTTAATTTAATTTAATTTTAACAAGACATGTCATATGGTAATTTCTCATTTTGGATTTTTGTTCTGTGAACCATCTAGAGAACAAATTCTGCAACCAATATGGCACAGATGTTTTCAGCAAACATTGGATATTTTAAAATATGTTGTCCCTGAGATATTGTTGCACTCCAGATCCCATCATTCTGTATCAATGTCTACACTGGATATAGCTGATGGGAACTGCAGTCTAACAGTATTTGGAGGAACACATGTCGCTCAGTCCTGCAATACAACATTGAAGTCAGAGTAGAGATTAGCTAACGTATGTTCAAAAAATAGTTCAAAATGTATTACAAACAAGGTCATTAGGGGCTTCCAGTCATGCTGAAAAGTCCTTCCGGATGACATACTTCAGGTGCGATGCTTGAGCTCCAGTACCTTCCTTGTTTGTGATATGATACTGCCTCAACATAAGTTCTTAAACAAGTTCTAAGCTTCAGGAGTAGAGTGAGGGTCAGTTATTCTGTTGGGGGAGCGGAGAGGAGGGCTTCCCCACTTTTTAAATTGGTCTTTCCTTCTAAAATATCCTGCTGCCAAAAAAGGACACACAATAGGTTTTCATTCTCTTAAGTGTTTGTGTGCCTTCAAGACACCGGTCAGCTCATAAGATAACCTCCTAGAACAGTACAGGAAGAAAAGTACTCCAAGAGCTTTGGTTATATGCTGTAGCAGTTTTAGAAATTATACAACCTTTCACACAGCTGCCCAAGTCAGAAATGAGGCAGAGAAACCCAGAGAGGTGGGAATTCAAAAATGAGATTGTAAGTTCTTTATCCACTCATTTTAAAGCTTCAGGCTGCAGTCCTACAGGTCCTGGGATTTTAAGTAGACTTCCTTCTCAGTAGACATGTCAAAAACTGGACTGTCAGTTTACAGACGGATTCTTGCATAGTACAGATCTCCCAACATGTAGCTTTTCTTCCAATCCTTCTTTACGATTTGGCTTAGAGTGGCACTGAGGACAACTCAGGTCTAATTCATCCACACAAAGGTAAACCACAGATGGACATGAGCTAGACAGACTGGCAGTGATATCACATCACCTCCACTTTGCTTGAATATGAAAGTACATAGAGTGGGGGGAAACACCTGTTACTGATCAAATACTAGAGGTATAAATGTAGCGGGGAAATTTTGATGGACAAAGTACTCATATAGAGTAAAAAAAACACACACAACAACTTCCACAGGAACCCTAAAACATTAAGCTCTACATAAAATAACCCTATAGGTGGCTCTTTTTGACATAGGATTAACTAGCTAGATGTTTACACTGGTAGGACTTCAGAATCTACATTGCGGTGAAAGTCCAGACATAATAATGCGTCCTTTGTTGTTGTATGCCTTCAAGTCATTTTTGACTTATGGTGACCCTAAGGCAACCCTATCATGGGATTTTCTTGACAAGATTTGTTCAAAGGAGGTTTGCCATTACCTTTCACTAAGGCTGAGAGTGTGTGATTCACCCAAAGTCACACAGTTGGTTTCATGGCCAAGCAGGGAATTGAACCCTAGCCTCCAGAGTTGTATTCCAACACTCAAACCATTATGCCACACTAGCTCTCACACTACAGATTAATACACCCTAAAGACTGACTAATCCCAAAGGATTTGTGATTACGTTTAATGAGTTTTCTCTTGTCCTGGCATGTGTTCATTTAAAATGTTGAGAATCTTCAAGATAAAGAGATTACCCAAGTAACTAAAACAATTTCTCTTAGATACTCTATTGCCTCTGGAAGAGCACAATTTGCTCCCTCATTCTCCAGTGACTTAGAGTTATGAAATCATCAGGAAGAAAAACATGGTCCTTTACCTGAAAGTTGCCATGGGACTGGATGGCAACAAGAAACCACACAACACTGGCATCTACTGAGGGGCCTAGGTCAAATGGGGCACTGCAGTTCCTACTCCACAACAGGTCTTCCTCAAGACAAGAGGAAAAACCCAACTTGGTACATCCATCAGTATGAGAAGGAATAGCTTCAAGAAGCCCATTCCCAAACAGAACACTCAAGTCCAACCTGCTGTAGCACTGAGACTGCAGACACAAATGGTGGTGATTGGGGAACCCCATTGACTAACAGAACAAGAGTGACCAGTTCAAAGAAGATTAACATGAACTAGCATGAACTATACTTAAATGTTCAGTTACAGCTTATTCCCTTATTCTGGTTGCCAGTCCCTGTTCCTTCTTTCCCTCCATTCCTCTTCCTTTGTGTTTGTTGTTGTAACTGCCCTCAAGTTACCTGACTCATAGTGACCTGTGGATGAGGCATCTCTAAGACTCCCTATCCTCCACTGCTCTGCTTAGGTCCTGCAAATTAAGACTTGTGACTGCCCTTATTGGGTCTATCCATCTGGCATGTGGTCTTCTTCAATTCTGCTGCCTTCTACCTTTCATAACATCATTGTCTTTTCAAATTATTCATGCCTTCTCATGATATAGCCTAAGTATGACAGTTTTAGTTTTGTCATCTTGGCCTCCAGGGAGAGTTCCAGCTTGATCTGTTCTAGAACCCATTTGTTTGTCTTTTTGACTGTCCATGGTATCATCAGCACTCTTCTCCAGCACATCTCAATGAGTTGATCTTCTTCCTATCTGCTTTCTCCACTGTCCAGCTCACACATCCGTAAATGATGCTGGGGAATACAATGGTTTGGATGATTCTAACTTTAGTGCTCAATTGTTTATATTTACATTTTTAAATCTTATCTAGTTTTGTCATAGCTGCCCTGCCCATTCACAGTTTTCTTCTGATTTTTTGACTGTAGTTCCCATACTGATCAAAGTTTTGACGCAAAGTATGGGAACTCTTTAATTATTTTGATTTCCTCACTATCTAGGTAGAAGTTATATAGATCCCCTGTGGTCATTATTTTTATTTGCTTTATGTTCAACAGTAAACCTGCCTTTGCATTTTTTTTTTACTTTCCTTATTAATTGTTCCAAGTCTATGATATTTTCTGCTAATATCTGAGACTGTTGATGTTCCTTCCTCCTATCTTAACTTCTCCTTCTTCCAGGTCTAAACCTTCTTTGTCTATTTAGTTTATAAGCCTGGTGGGAGACCATTTTTTTATTAATGTGAACCATTTTGGGAGGCAACAATTGTCTGAAAGTCAAGATAAATACTATGTGGACAAAAACAGAGCAAACACAAGTTAAGGTAGATCTTAAAGTCTACCATGCGTGTACAAAGCCATCCACTGAAGCTCTTTAGAGATCTTAAGAGTCTGTCCCATCTGGACTCTTTGGATAATTACAGATTTTTCATTCGCCTGTTAATGGTTTTTCACTAGCCTCTCATGGTCTGTTTGCTAAATAAAATTGTAAATAAAATGGCTTCTGGCAATTTTGATTTGATCTCTTTTTCCCCCTATCATATATACAAAAGATGCTTCCTAATCCAGTAAAGTCACTTAACACTGACAGGGAATCAAGCAACATTCCAGCTGCTCACATGGACCTTCGTCACTGTGGCTTATTGTATCTCACTGGGTAGAGACCTACTGACTACAGGAGATAACAGAAGGAGGACAATTCTAATTACTTTGAGGAAGGTTACATATCTCCTCCTCAAGAAGTTGTCTCTGAATCAGGATAATCTCATTAATTACTGTCCAATGGCCAATTTTCCTTTCTTCAACACTGTGCTTAAATAAGTGGTTGCTACCCAGCTCTAGACATTCTTGAAGGTTGTTTTTTTTTTAAATTCAAGCTGTAAACATCCCCTGGAGCACCATTGCCCATTATTAGAAAACACAGAAATTGTGGCTTAACCACACCTCTGCATAGAAAAGGCTGTGTACTAAAATTCAGTTCATGGGATAACTATCAGTCAGATGCTGTGCAAAGCTGGGCTTTAAAGAAGAGTAGTGAGAAGAAGGCCACTGGTAAAGCACACTTATATAAAAGTCCTTTGGAATTTGCTAAAAGGCCTGTGGGGAACACAGCAAATGTGAACAATGTTCTCCAATCTAATGAGACCAAAATTAACTTTTTGGCCTTACCACAAAATGCTATGTGTGGTGCAAAGCGAACAGCATTCCTTGCCCTGAAAACATCATCCCCATGGTGAAGCATGGGCCATGAGGTGGCAGCCGTATTGTGGGGATGTTTTTCCCTGGCAGGGATGGAAAACTGGTCAGGACTGATAACAAGGTGGATAGAGCAAAATGCAGTGCAAATAGGTTTCCCCTCACCAGTAGAAGCATTACGTCTAGATTTCTGGGTGTCTGTAATGTTTAATAAAATTTGATTGTTCAAATATTTATTATTTTTCCCTGGCAAAACATAATATTCACAAGTGTTAAAGGGCATTTATAGAAAATCTTCTATCTGAAGTTATATTTTTCCAATCTCGGATCTTTAAAATTGCCCTCTTTTCTCTATCTTTACTCAGTTCATCAGATAACCATCTTCATGGTTTATCTGCATGCTCAAAATATTTATGCCTTGCAAATCTCATTTATTTTTCAATCTTTGAAACTGTGTTCATAGAATGTTGTTTCTGAATGATCTTAATTTCATTCATGTTCTTTTTTAGTCGGGTTTTGCATCAGTTCTTTCTCTTTATCCTTGGGAGCATCTAAAATCTTTTAATTTTTTCATTTCTTTTCTATTAAAATTCTACATTTTGCTGTATCAAAATCCCTTGCATAACAGCCTTACTTGCATCCCAAACCATTCACACATCCATTTCTTTATTTAGAGTATCAAAAAATTCATGCAAGGGCTTTTCCCACCTTATTTAGAATTCTTTCATCTTTTAATAAGATTTCATTGTCTCCAATTAAAATGTCTCTTTTCTGTTATGTTAAGGAAATTAAGGAGACTGGATCATGATCTAAAAAAAGTCTTTGATAAAACATCCATTTTTATAATTTTAATTCCAAATATCTTGGAGACAAAAAGCATCACTCCTAGATTGCATCTGCACCGCAGAAATAATTTTAACAGAATTGGATTGTCTTAGAATGGCCCAGAGCCCAAGATCTCAATATGACTGAGAATATGTCCCATGATTTCAAAGTTGGTGTTCACCAATTCTCCCCATCCAAAAAGATAAAGCTCAAAGAATGTTGCCAAGAATGGGCAAAAATTGCAAGATACTGATAGGCTAAGCTGTTGAAATATACCCAAGAAGACTCACAGCTATCTTTACTGTCAAAGGTGCTTCTAGCAAGGCTTGGGGTGCGTGTGTATATGTGTGTGTGTGTACATATGTAACAACAAGTTCTAGTTTGTTTTTATTTACCTAAATTTTGTGTCACAATAAAAATCTTGCATTTTTATAGCACTGAGTATCTTCTATAGATCAAGTGGTAATTATAACAACTAAGGGCCTTTACAGAATGAAATAATGCACTTTGAGGCCACTTTAACAGTCCTGGCTCAGTGCTAAGGAATCATGGAAACTGTAGTTTATTGTGGCACCAGAGCTCTCTGACGGAAAAGGTTCAATGTCCCAGAAAAAAATACAATTCTCATGATTCCCTAGCACTGAGCCAGGACAGTTAAAGTGGCTTCAAGCTGCATTATTTCTGGCAGTCTGTAAAGGCCCTAAATCCCTTTCAGTTCCACACAACAAAAGTCAAAGGAGAATATGTGAATACTTCTGGAAGGCTCTATAACACTGCGTTTCTCTTTTCTATTAGCACAATAATGAAAAAACACCACATCTAATATTTCTAGATTTCTGTAAATTTTCTTTGCTCTTAGTATGGACACCTGTTCACAGTTGCTATCATCTTCTAGATCTCTATCTTTGCACACTTTACATATAATTGTGCACTCATGTACACAGTTGTTGCACAGCAAAAGTTTTTCTCAGCAGTTGTGTTTCATCAGGTCACAACTGCCTTTACAGCTGCACTGTACTATTTTCTGGTGCTGTTACAGAAGCTTGTGGAAGAACTGTCATGGTTGGTTACAACATACAAAAAGTTCTTTTCATCCCCTCCCATGCTTGAAAAATACTTCAGAGTACCCCATGCTATAGCATTTCATAGCAGCAGACGGGGCAGTCACTTGTTCAGGGTGAACAAAAGATGAAAAAGTCAGAAAATACCTGGCAATTATATTCACTGGTTGTTATTTCAGATGGAGTATCATTCAGAACTCCTAGAGCTATTTCAGCAGCTACAGCAATGAAACCTTGAGAAAGACCTTGGAGAAGAGCCAGCAATTTAAAAAAAATACTACCAATCTTTACTACAAATGACAGGTGTATACAGTAACAGTTTGGGTACTTCTGTTAACACACTGTTGCTGAAAATTCCAGGATTTTTGCAGTCCTCTTTTCTTTGGACTTGGAGAGAAATGTGTCTTGCTTGATACTATGCATAAAAACAAAGCAGGACAAACAGGTCACTTTCATCTCCTACTAGGACCGTGTCAGTGGAATGGGATAGCTTGACAGCTATTTGAACAATGAAAGTATCATCATCTACTAGTTTGAAAAACTGTAAAGCCCTTGTCTTTCTAATACAATGTAAGTATACCAATGAATTGCTGTTTGTTTGATTACCATGAAAGGAATTCTTGTTTGTTGATCTT